GGATATCTCTTCTGGTGTAACACTGGGCCAGTAAGGAGTTTGGTACAAACTAGTTTGACTCTCCTTGGTTACATAGTCAAGGTTTGTATATAACTCCCTAAAATATTCTTCCCAGGCATGAATCGGTACCTGGTTAGTTGGGGCCAGGGAAGGTTTCCCCAATCCTCTAGTGATGTATCAAAAAAGGGATGTATTATTTGTCCTGACATAATTAATCTATGCCAAGACCCTTCAGAGTCACACTTTTCTTTTCTTTTAGAAGGTTCTTGTGATCCTCAAAAGGGGCATTTTTACTTTTCTTGTATTCCATATTATATATCCTTTTTAGTTGCACGCAATCTCCATCGAACCATTTTTTATTCTTTGAGATCGGCCTTTTGGAGTGAGCTAGTGGTCTGTTAATGAGAACCGAATTCAAATTTAAAATTAAAGTTTCAAACCCCTCTAAGATCCTCCAAACTTATTCCTTAGTACAGATGTATGTAACTCTATGGTTTTTGGAACTAACATCCATTTGGTAACTTCCTTAGCATTTTTCTCATTCCATTTAATTTTTACCTGGGTATTTTGACTCTCTATCCTGGGTAGGTAGGCTGTGCCTGCCCTTAGAGATTTCTAGTGTAATGTGAGAGTAAGGAGTATTGCATCATGATTGCTTTCCAGTCGCGAGTCTATCTCCATCTTCTGTAAGAACTTTAGGAGGTCATATGATATTATCCAGTAATCCAGTGTTTTTCAACCACTGTGCCGCAGCACACTAGTGTGCTGTGACATAGTGTAAGGTGTGCCATGGGAAAATTACTTTATATATAGTCAATATAGGCACAGAGTTAATTTTTTTAAACATTTTCTAATGGTGGTGTGCCTCGTGATTTTTTTCATGAAAAAAGTGTGCCTTTGCACAAAAAAGGTTGAAAAACACTGCAGTAATCAACCGTGGATTTTCTTCCTGCTCCCTGATAAGTATATTCTGCTGGATAGTCGCCCCATGTGGACCAATTAAGGATACAAAGACCCAAACGTACAGTCATCTGTTTTACACACAAACCTGCCCGATTTGCTTTAGGGTCTTTAAATTGTCTGGAATGCAGGGATTCTCCTGTTAAAATGCTAATTAAACAAAAAAGGATCCAATGGGGGTACTAAAAATTGATAAAATTAAACAAAACTGGGAAGCGCTACTGCAAACACGCTCCAGCTGCAGCTCCACCCCTCTTTCAAAGAAGGTACTTGGTAGTTGTCATCTTCTTTTTTTATTCTTCTTTGTATTTCTATAATCTATTTTGTTGTCTGCCACCGCACTGAAATCGCCTTTTATACAGACATTTTCCCAATCTGATTCAATTATTTTCTTGTGTAATTTATTACATAATTCTTTTTTATTTATATTTGGAGCATAAATATGCACCAGCAGAATTATTTTTTGATTTGTTGTTATTTCCGTCATTAAAAATCTGCCTTCTCTACCACTGAATATTTTCCTTGAATTTAACCAAACTTTTATGTATACTGCAATCCCTCTTTTCTTATTTTGTGCTAATGCCAGATGTACAGGGCGGGGCATAACCTTTTCCTAGGGGGTCACAGCAACACTTGTAATAACAACACAAATAATTCATACACCATTCGAAAGCCCA